TCAATGAACAATTTCTTCCATACTTGAAGGAAGCAATTACGTCGGGTGAAATGGTGAACAAAGTTTTGGTTACACAGGTGTTATTTTTTTCGCCCATGAATACTTGTGTCAAATATTAAAGAAATAGACAGAAATATTAATAGCTCATTTATTAGATTTAGAAGGTGGACTTCTCCGACTACTGATCTGCTGTTGTTTTAAGTATTAAAATGCCGAGTTTCGATTGTCTCGAAGATGTTGACATCATTTTCATTCCGCAAATGCGATACAAAAACTCGCATAAACAAAGGTTACACAAGTGGAAAGACACACTAATCAGTTCGAACAAACATTGAAACTTTTCAAGTGCGAAGAGAAAGTAAATTACTTACATGATTTCTCTTCTCCTAGGCCGTCACAACAGTGTATTAAAAGCGTAAGTCTGAGCAGAAATTAGACACAACTTACATATTTCGCTTCCCTCTAACTTAAAGCACGTGAATTGAAAACTTTTTAACGAAAAGACGAGATTCTTGACTAACCCAGACGGCAAAATACGAGCAAAATGTTCTCCGTAGACCTGACTACGCGAAACAGCTCAACAACTTACCGTAGCTGCAGGACTACGCGTGAAAAATGAACAGTCACGTGGTTTTGATCATGCGCAGTAGCATGTTCAACCGTAGTCGTAATCCGTAGTCACCGTATCTTAAACTCCCTAACAGCCTGCGAACCGCAGACGTAGCTCGATCCGGGAAACGAGAAAGAACAAAAAAACTGAATTTTACTTTGAATGTTGACTTTTGGTTTTGCAACGATGATGTCTGTAAAAAAAACTTAAAGGCAAAAAACGTGAGTTTGTCGTTTTTCTATTATGTTAAAAACGGTAATTTTTTTTCTTGTCCAAATTCAATACGCGATACTTTACAAAAAGCGCCGACGTTTTTTTGCGGTTATTGCTTTCCCCGATTTGAAGCACAATGCTCACAATTCAGTGACTATTATGAAAGTTGGAATGTTTTAAAGCAAAGTATTCGTTTCTTATACGGCCGGTTTTGGCCGGCGCGACCGTCAATGGGTTAATTTCAGTAGTCTAACGCTAGATTTCTTTGGGATAACTAGATTAAGTGGAAGTGTCTAGCTTCGAAATACCACGAGTGCAAGAGGTTTTTTTTTCCTCTTTGGGGCAACGGAATTGAGCGGTAAACTGGAGCCGCCCTTCTCGTCGTAAGTGATGAAGATGACCCCTGGTATCCAAGCATATTCTTTGAAAACCATGAAAAAGGCAATTCCCAGACGTTCAAGTGCAAACCGCGAAGGAGAATAGGATGGCCTATAATGGAGCTACTTTGAACTGGTGCGATAAGTACTATGCACTCGTCTTGCTTATCTGTAACAAACCCCGGGTTCTGATAACAAACTACCGTTTCTCCCTGAAAGTTTTTGAAGGGTGGTCTTAATCTCCATAACTCTAACATTATATTCCGACCCTTCCTTTTTAGGAGATGAGGTTGAAATCCTAGCAGTGGCTGGAAGCGGTTCAGTAACCAAGCAAACTTCAGTGCATGGAAAGGAGCTGGGGGCGGGATGGATTCCGCTTTTGGTTACGGAAATAGCGCCAACCATCTCACCCTGGCCAGAGTATCCAACACACTCTGGCCAGGTGGAGAGAAAGAGCTTTATAGCTTGGCCGCAAACTTGGCTCAGACGAAAAGTTCGTCGATAAAGAGTAGGAGGCTTAATTTTCAGGATCATTTGCATCCTGGGAAATTTCAATGGTAATTCCTTCAGGAATAATAGGGAAAGACAGCACAAGTCATGGCTTGCATCGTAAGCGTGGTGATCGTGTCTTTAGGTACCCCCAAACACTTGCGTCGATTAAACAAATAAGCTTAAGACAGGGGAAAATTTTTTTTTCAGTTAAATGACGTCAAGAGAGATTATTCTCCCTTGATGGCCTGGACATTACTTCAGCAGAGGCCCCCCGTGCGCTCTCTACCGACGAACTTTTCGTCTGAACAAAGGAGTCTCTTTTTCATTTCATTTTAAGAATTGAGTTGGTTGTCCATTGAAGGAAGGAAATATTCTGTTGCTCTCAGTGAATTGAGCTCAAAACAGCGATAATGAATGAAATAACGTAATGATGATGTAGTATTCTAGCTCTATATAAGTATATTCTAGTTAAAGTATTTTTAGTTTTATATAAGTATATAAGTATCTTCTAGTAAGTAGCCTTAGTTCTATATGAGTAAATAAGTATATTCTAGTTGAAATTTTCTTAGTTCTATATAAGTATATAAATATATTCTAGTTGAAGTATTTTTAGTTCTATATAACTATACAAGCATATTCTAGTTGAGGTATTCTTAGTTTTATATAGGTATATATAAGCATATTCTAGTTGAAGTATTCTTAGTTCTATGTAAGTACTGTATATATGTATATTCTAGTAAGTAGTTCTAGTAATAGTACATAGTATAGTATATGGAATTATTTTCTTCTGAACAACAACAAAAAAATGAAATAAATAAGACTCGTTTGTCCATGGTCCTGTAAACCAGTCCTGTAGATGTTTATGTTTTAAAAAATGAGTGGGGACAGATTTATGATCACATTGCACCTTCAGTTTGAGACCTTCTAATTTAGGCTATGTTCAAACTTTTCCCAGATGTAGCTCTTGTTCCGTCACAAAAAACTATACCAGAAAGGGGTTCTGTTCACACATAAGAAACGTGATTTCGGTTCGATTTTTTTGCTGTAGCGTGCCGTGAAGAGCTGATTGGACCGTAGCGCAAGTAAATAATTAGGGGCGAGGACTGGAATCCACTGAGACTGATTCTCGGCCGCCAATCGCGGGTGAAGGGTAACTCCTAGTAATAGGCTTTTGGGATGTACATGTGCCGCTGGATGGAGTCTAATTTTCACGGCTGGGTTAACTGTAATAAGGTTGCATTTTCATTAGAGTTACTAGAATGGGATCGCACATTTTCGAGATTTGGGGAATCAGAAAATTCAGGTAGGAGGGGATTAAAAAGTGGAAGATATTTTCTTCATTAAGTTTAGCCAATGAGTCAATTCCTTTCAGGATATCGATGACCTAGTTAAAAGACTTTATATAGTAGATGCATAGACAGGAAGTTACTGAGTTGGGACTTAGGACCTAATTAACATAGTGGTGGGTCACCCCAGGTAGTTGAGATAGCCCGTTTAGGTGGGGTAGTCCGCTTGTCCATATCCTGTCTCGTTTTAATTTGACTGCGTTTACTTTATAGGTGGGTCTGCCAGACCGGGTAACTCTCTCAGCCGGGGTCCGATTCGTGCTGCAGTAAAACCTCGATATAACGATATGCCAAGGGAGCAGTAAAATTATATCGTTTTATAGAGGAATCGTTATATCGAAAATCCCGATGTAACTACATGGCAGTAAAATAACCGAAAATATCGTTATAGCGGT